ATATATATATATATATATATATATATATATATATATAGATTGATTTTTTATTTCACTGATCTTTCAGCTGTGTCTAACTAATATTAGTTGCAAAGACGCAGTGCATGTGTACTCATGTTACCATATCAATAATATAAAACTGGCCTTTACAAAGTGACCTGTCTTCACTTTGTTCTAGTGAACCAGTATTTTCTAAAATGCAGTAACATTTCAGTTATAATACATTATAAGTTTTTACAAATAAGTTACAAACTCTGTACTCATTTGCCCACTTGCATTAATTTGCTAAGCCTTGTCAAGTTTCACATGTGGAGGATGTAAGATACTTTTTTAGGTTTTATATACGCATTTTGAATACTATAAATTACTCTATCAGTATTGCAGAATTCCATAGTAATTTATCAGGCTTACTAACTAAAATGTTTTTCAAACAACATCTTCACTTCGCACTTTCTTCTATGATTCAAGATAAAGAAATAATCTTGGGAACTTCCCACCTTCTAGAGGCTGAGAAAACCATCAGGGAGACATTCTGAGCTTTCAATTGGTTATTCACACGTAATAGGCAGAAGTAAGTATACATAAGCAAGTATTTCCAAAAATGAAAAGAGGTGTGTGGGGCCATTGTGTTTGATTCACTAAATATATTGATATCTCGACAAACAGAAAAGATATGAAGTTCATATTTTATATTCTAGCTTGTCAATATTGGTAATATGAGTTTCTAATTGTAAGAAACTATAGACTTTGTATTTGGATATCACAAACATGTATAATTTAAACCAAAGCTGCATTCAACATACCACGTGACACAAAAATTGATATTTAGGAACTTTGTTTTAATATTTACTTTTAAATTAAGAAATTAACTAATGTATATTACTGAAACCTGAATTATAATCTACAATTTGATACCAAACTTATTGGTATACATTCAGAAAATAGTAGACCAATAAAATTTTGAATGTAAATCTACAAACGTGATGACATACCCTTTAACCCCGACCATAGGAAGACCTGTAGCAAAAGGGTTAATAGCAAGCAATAAATAAAATAAATTACATATACCTTAAGGAAAACCCTTAAAATTTTGAAAATCACAATACAGTTTATGCAAATATAATGTTATTTGTTTGTAGTTTTTTAAAAGTATATTTACAAATAGTCTGTGAACAAAATATGGAGAAGCAGTTATTTTGCAATGAAAACTTTACTTATCTCGTGATGCTTCCATGAACAATGTTCAATAGAATCATTGGTTGTAAATTTAAAGTTTCATAATTTGTAATCAACCCATAACTATCTAACAAAATGTTTATTTAGCTAAAATCTATTTAATGTATAGAAACTGAAACATTATCAAGTACTACCTAACGAGGCAGCGTGAAGTAAGCAATTTCCATCACCACTTGTTGCTAAAGGCCACAATCGCTGACAAACTCCAATATCAGACCACCAGTTGAGTCGACCTAGAAGTAAAAATATCTGTGAAGTTCTAATAAGTATTCCAAAACAATGAATGAAATACAAAACTTATATCTACAGATGTAACTATGTACATCATTAGGCTGATTATTTCATATTAAAAAAAATTCATCACATAGCACAACTGAGAGGTGAAGTGTCTGCTTGAGCTCTAACTTAGATAATGTATTTCTACAAAATAGTTTTCATCTAGAAAACTATACATTACTTCCCCATATTCAGCTGTTAATACAAATGAAATCAACTTTTCATCTCAAAAACTGTTTGTAGCAATTTATTCTGATGCTAGCCTTTAAGATAAAAGCTGAATCTGACTGAAGGTTCTTTTTAGTAAAATTTCTCTTGTAGAGGTGGTATAATTTATAGTTGTCGTCCATCTTCTACCAAATCACCTGAGAATAGTCTTTATTATCTTGTAACTAAGAATATTTCACAACTTGCTGTTTCAGCTCTCATACGTGATATCTCAGAAACAATCACAGAGTTTTAAATTTTAAATGAAGAGCATAAAATTCTATTTCTGTAAATATACAACTTTTTACAAGCTATTATGGCTATTACAGGCTCTTTGAGCAAGTATAATGGTTTTAGTTAAATGTTAAGCTTCTGAAAAACAGGTTTTATGGGTTCACTGGGCAGCCTGCAATATCAGCTGTTAAATATCAAATCATTCACAAAACTACTGGAGTTAACCAATATTCACTGTTAACAGATATAAAAATAGCCAAAAACCACTCGTATAACATAATACCAACTGTCATTAGATAAGAAGACAACCATAAACTCTTCAGAATATCAATTAAACTAACCGAAAATGGTTGGTATTAAACCAATATCACCTGTTAACAAATGTCAATTCAACCATAAACATTTGATATGAATTTTTGAAACAACTATTTGTGGGATAACAGATGTATTTCTCTACAGCATTTCATCTCCAACAGTGAGACATGATCATCTACAACATATAAGTACATCCAATCAAATAACTGCATTTGATACTATCTCCCTCTGGTGTTAAATATAATTAGCACAAATAGAATGCTTATATGTATGTTCTTATGTTTGGGTTTTTCTCTGTATTCAATACCTTAATATATCTATAAAGTTTATTTCATGTTTTTTTCGCATCCGGTCATTATTTTCTTACCTATTTCTCCTATATAGAAACTTTCACAATCTAGACAATATATTTTATTACCTGTGACATTGCCATATTTTTCATTGTTATATAACTTTGGTAGAAAACTTTTAATGTCAGTTCAATTTTAGTTTTTATGTTGTGTTTTTTGCTCGATTTGTACCATATCTAATTGATTTTTCACTAATAACACCTACAAATGGTATTGATCCAGAAATATGTTTCTTCTCTTGTTGTTCCTGAAACGTGTTCATTTTTTTCTTAGTTCATTGTTTTCTTGATTGTCTTATCAGTTATACTTAGAATGTACTCATCTTTTGTTTTAAAACATTCTATTATGTTTTGAATTTTGTTTTTCATGTTTTCATTGGTGCATATTCTCAGTGCTGTTATGATACTACTTTTAATGTTCCGATTTTTACTTTTTATCGTGATCGGAAAACCAGCTTACACATGTCCCATCATGAGTCTTCTTTTGGTGATTTTTATGTTCACATTTAGGCATTTTATACAACCATCTAGGCATTTTATACAACCATTTAGGTAGTTTATACAACCATTTAGGTAGATTATGCAACCATCTAGGTAGATTATGCAACCATCTAGGTAGATTATGCAACCATCTAGGTAGTTTATACAACCATTTAGGTAGTTATACAACCATCTAGGCAGATTATACAACCATTTAGATAGTTTATACAACCATTTAGGTAGTTTATACAACCATTTAGGCAGTTTATACAACCATTTAGGTAGTTAATACAACCATTTAGGCAGTTTATACAACCATTTAGGTAGTTAATACAACCATCTAGGTAGATTATACAACCATTTAGGCAGTTTATACAACCATTTAGGTAGTTTATAGAACCATTTAGGTAGATTATACAACCATTTAGGTAGATTATACAACCATTTTTATCTTTTTCTATTGTGAATATTTATTCTTATGTTGTTTGTTAATGTGTTAAAAAATCATGTAATTTCTTCTCCGTTAAAGCCACACAGGATATCATCAATATATCTCCAGCAGAAACGTGGTAGAAATATCGGAAAACCCAAACAAAAAAAAACAGTCTGGAGGAAACAATGATCAAGAAATTAACACCTAAAATTAATAAAACATCAGGAGAACCATTGTATCTGTATTAAGTTAATTATATTTAAAAGCAAAGGGAGATAGTATTATAAGTCGAATTATATGATTGAATGTATTTACAATTTAAATGTACTTTTTATATCTTACATGATCATGTCTCACTGTTAGAGAAGAAACATTTTACAGAAAAAAATCTATTATCCCAAAAATCACTGTTTCAAAAATTCATACTGCTTGTTAGTTAAGTAGGTACCTCATGAAAAGGAAGCAGTGAAAAATATTTGATATTTAACAATATCAGATATCTACATACATCAAGTCAGCAAACAAATAACTGGTAATAAAAACTGTAATCTGGATGAAGACGCTTAGGTTGGTAATAAAAAAAAACTTTATTAAAACATCATGGATTTAAATTTACAAGGATATTTTTTAAACTATCAAATCTTGTTTATTTTAACAATAAAGAGGTAATTATGTAAAAACATTTTATCCAAAAGATCTTACCAGCATGTTCAAGAGACACAAGTGTTGATGTTTCAACCAAGTCTCGTTCAAGGAACTCCCTGAAATCAGGAGGATGTATAGAAATGTCAGGTAAGGTAAAAGTGTAAACAGGGGTGTCCAAGAGAGCAACCTGAGCATGTGTTGAACTGCTGAGTGGGCTCCTGGTAAATTCACTTCTTGCTCTTGCCACTAGACCAACATTTTCGGTTGCTTTGGATATGCCTCTTGAAAGTCTTTTAGCTGGAATGTACAACACAGAGAATTCAATTGTGTTTATAAGAATGATTTTTATACTTGCAGTGATTTCAGGTAAATCCATGAAGCCACCATGATTGTGATCAATGTGATAGCCATGTGACTGGGCAGCCACCAGTGGTTGTGATCAATGTGATAGCCATGTGACCTGGGCAGCCACCACTGATTGTGATCAATGTGATAGCCATGTGACTGGGCAGCCACCAGTGGTTGTGATCAATGTGATAGCCATGTGACCAGGCAGCCACCACTGATTGTGATCAATGTGATAGCCATGTGACTGGGCAGCCACCAGTGGTTGTGATCAATGTGATAGCCATGTGACCAGGCAGCCACCACTGATTGTGATCAATGTGATAGCCATGTGACCGGGTAG